TCAATTTCCACTCATTTTCAGCATTCTTTTGGAATACTGCAAAATTTTGGCCCTTGTGCCCCCCATCGCTCCGAGGCTGGCCAGCGTGCTGACGGCGCGCGGTGACTATGCAGAGGCGGAGCCGCAGTGCCGGCGAGTCCTGAAGACCAGCGAAACCGCGACCCTCAGAGAGGTCCACAATCTCACGGGTATGCTGCGACTTGCAGGAAAGCTGGCGGAGGCTGAGACTTTGTGCAGAAGAGCTTTGACTGAACGCGAAAGTGTGCTGGGAGAGATGCATGCGGAGACCCTGGAGTCGGTGAACATGCTCGGGTCAGTCTTGTGGCAGCAGGGGAATCTGGAAGAGGCTGAGGTGGTTTGCAGGAAAGCTTTAGAGGGACGGGAGACGCTGCTCGGGGATAAGCATCTGGACACATTGGTGTCAGTCAACAATCTTGCGTTGGTGCTGGAGCGTCAGGGCAAGCTCCAAGAGGCCGAAGTGCTTCAGAGAAGGGCTCTAGCCGGACGGGAGGCACAGCTCGGGGCGATGCATCCCGAGACATTGATATCCGTCAACAATCTTGCGGTGGTGCTTCACACCCAGGGCAACCTCGAAGAGGCCGAAGGCCTTTACCGAAGAGCGCTGGCAGGCGTGGAAGCGCAACTGGGAGCTAATCATCCGGACACATTGTTGTCCGTCAACAACCTTGCGCACTTGCTGCGTCAACTGGGCAAGCTCCAAGACGCCGAAGGCCTTTACCGAAGAGCGGTAGCAAGCCAAGAAGCTCAGCTTGGAGCCGGTCATCGGAGCACCCTGCGCTCCGTCTTCGGTCTCGCGCTCCTTTTGGAGGCGAAGGGCGGCCACCTGGCCGAGGCGCGGAGAGCGGTCGCTCCGAGCCGTGGAGCCGAGGTCGGGGGAGCCGTGAGAGGTCGGTCCCCAGAAAGGCCGAAGGAGCGGAACGGAAGAAGGTGGTGGACATGAACGAAAAAAATCAATTTGTTTGGAGGTCTTTGCCATGTGTTGTTTGACGTGTTTTGCAGTTCCTTTTTGGTTGCAATGCCTTGAGGGATGTTTTATCAGTTTGGATGTTTTGGGCAACATTTGGTACTGATTTAGTGCTTTTTGGATACCTTTGGATGTGGTTTCTGAGAAGTCGCTATTTTTTCTGAGATATTTTTTTAGTGTTTTAGTGCTGGAAATCACAGATAGTTCCTTCTTTGGAGGTCTTTGCCGAATGTTTGTCTTTTTTTGCAAATTTTGTTGGAATGAACTTAAGCAGTTCAGTTGTGTTTGCCATCATTTGGCAATGTTTTAGGCTTTGGGATCGTTTTGGAGGGGTATATATTTGAAGGCGTCATCATTTTTCGTTATGTTTGAGATGCCTCTTGGCATGAAAGAAGATGTGGGAGAGTGAGGACTGGCTGATGAAAAGGTTCATGAAGATTCTGACGTTTCTGTTTTGTTCATCCAGGTTTTTCACTTGTTTTTTTCTGCTCACCTCAGTGGTCGCCCCGTCAAGGTGCACATTGTAGGGACTTTGCTGACCCACGGGTGTGATCATGATTTCATGATCGTTTCACAACCACTCGGTGGAGGGTCGGCGACACCTGCTCTTCAAAACATGTTCTTTGGCCATGGCCATCTGCCAACTAATTCAATTGGACCTTTCTCATTTTCCTGGCTTTGCCAAGATGGCAAGATGTTCGTGAAACAATTGAAGAGGAGACTCATTGCCTCATGGCCAATCAAATCACTTCGGGCCGGCTTGTCCAGGTGGAAAAGCTCCTTCTTAGAGCTTTGAAGGGTTACAAGGCTGGAAGCTCCACGACTCTAATCGGCGGGTTCAGTTGAAGATAT